CCTGGCATGGTTTTGAGTTATGCCAACCAGCCTTTCCCCAGACAGTTCCTAGGCACAGTTAAGCATGGACCAAAGACCATTCCCAATAAGCAGTTTGCATGCGGTCACCTTTTTTGGGAGGCTGAGAATTTAATAATGTGGACATAGGCCGCTCTGTGCCTGTTGGTCTTGGTGCCAAAGGAACATTTCCTGTCCCATTTAATTTCCTAGCACAGACATAGCCGCTGTGTTACAGTCTGATCCCTGCTTTGTTCCTGTAGCTGTGCAACTGGGCATTGGTCTGTACTTAAAGTCTGTGGCAAACCTAAATGTAGTCTTTTGTGTCTATGTTACTCAACCCCATCCCTAAACCTCTGTTTGTCTTTGTCCTTTTTGAACTGTATGCTATTCAGACAGCAACTATATTTGGAAAGGGCTGTGTATTGTGCAGACCCATTTAAATTAAGCAGTTATGCAAAAGTGAAAATCTGCTCTGCAAAGTAAATGGAAATTAAAGGAGACTGACACAATGCTTAGATCTTGTGTTCGCATTGCTAGTGAGCAGATACTTACCACTAATTTGATTTTTCATCAGAAACAGGTACCATGAAGTGCCGGATTGAAACTCCTGGGGCTAGATGGTCCCGGATGGCAACATCTGTCAGGTGTAATAAGGCAGAAAGCTTTACTTTAAAAGAAAGTTCTCTTTCTTCTTCTGACTCTAAATGCAGCTTTCCCCTTGCTTCTCACTGAGCACATTTCCTTCTTTAGGGGGTCAGACACAGCCTCGGTAGATGTTCTTTTCCTTTCTAGTGCCTCTCAGATATACATTTATTTTCTTCCTGAAGCGCTGCCTAAATCTATTGACATTTAAATTGTTAGAAGCAGTGATCTGCAGCTACTGGTATCATTCTTATCTGATATCATCCCATCTTATCTGCATGGTGGAAACATAAAATGTGCACTGGAAAAGGAGTATAGTTACTCCCTTAGGTACGTACTCCTTCCAGTGCACGAATTATTCTCAATCTTTTCATATGTAGCTTAATCTATGAAATACAAATGTCATCCTCAAGACAGGCAGAGTGGGTTGAGAAGCTAAAGGGAAAAAAGGAGTTAATTTGGCCCCGGAGCATTTGGAGGCAGTTGGAAAAAGAGGGGATGGTGTGAAATTCGTGAGAGCTTGGGGGTGTGAGGGAGCAGATGGGGAACGTGAGGGAAGGCAGAGCACATAGGATGTGGCAGGGCAGCAGGCCGTGTCCACCCGGGCACTTGCACATGAGCAGCAGTGGGTTAGGCATGTTCGGTGACTTTGTCAGGGGGGCCATTGGCATGTGGCAGAAGGGCAAGGACAGGAGAGAGGAGCCAGGAGGTCAGGGGACAGCTGGGAGGAACCTGGCTGGTGTAAGAGAGGAGCTAAAGAGGCCAGACAGGGTGAGGTGGAGCACGGAGGAGGCAAAGGAGGGGAGTTTATTAGAGGAGAGGGCTAAAATGCAGCATGGTCACTAAAGCTTACAACCTCCAAAGTATTTAGGAGTCTTGTGCTGAATTTAGGATCTCCATCAGTGTGTGAGTGCAAATCCCTTCTCCTACAGAGCAATCACCATGTGCCACATTATATGTGTGTCAGCTTTTCAGGACAGGCAGAATTTAAGTGCAATGTACGGATGCAGGTGCTTTCTTTTTTCATCCTAAAAATGGGACTTGATCAAGCAGCTCTTTATCAAGAGCTCTTTCTCTCAGGGAGAGCCTGTCTCACTGGTGGTGTGGCTTACCTAAGCAAAGCATTTTTTCATTCTAAGTCAGAACCGTGCTAAAGAGGAAGCGATGATCTAGTTGTTCAGCCTCACCATATCCTGTGTTCAGAATAATTTTCATTTCTACTTATCTGCAAATGTTAATGGAATGTCCACAAATATTTTCTTGGTTTCTATGGTAAGAGAAAGAGAGTGTGAAACTCTGTGTCAAAACCACTGCATCATCTGCATCATCCTGTGCTTTTCAGGAGACAACCCTGACCACTAGAAGAGTCATCTGTGACATTACTTGTGTACAAACTGACATTTAGTACATTTTGATCCCTTCCAGGTTTGCATTTTGAAACACAGACTTACATATTACAAACATAAAGGTTACTTGGTCACTTTCATAATTATGCAGTAGTGACAGAGTATATCAAAACAGCTCAGCACAGATTACTTCCTCTCTGACTATAAAGCAATCGGCATTTGCTGGAATTTTACTGTAAGACTTTGGAAATAACTTTTTTTAAAAGTTGTAAGTTTCCAAATTACTCAGAAGTATAATCTCCCAGTCCCTTGTGTACGCATGCATGGAGCATAGCAGGGTGCAAGTGCTTGGGGAACTGTGCCAGTAAGTGGTCACGTGGGAGAAGCAGCTAACGTGCTGCACGCTTCCGCAGCCGCCTGAAAACAGCACTGTTCCCCCTCAGCGAGCACCCGGGGACTGGCCACGAGCTGCGACACTCCTCTCAGGAAAGGAGCAGCTGTCCTGCACCACATTTCCCTGGAAAAGGGACTACTTCAGTTTGGGGCATGCATTGTCAGAAGTATTCAAACTGCCTCACAACCATGCATCCCCCAAGTATTTACCTATGAGAGCGCAGAGCCTTAGTGTGGTGGGGCTGCTGGGATTGGGGAAAATAAAACACTGTTTCACTCCGTGTGAGAAGAGCTGTGTGGATCTCAAACTGGGAATCGTGGGGTTTGGTGGTATTGCTGCAGATCAGAGATCGCACAGCTTTTGCTCCTGACGCTGCACCCAGCCACTGACAAACAGTAATGGATTGAAATTGTTATATCTAATTTCTCAAAGCAACGTTTCTTCAATAAGGTTTTCCACAAATGTCCTGAGACAATAAAAGTGCAGATCAGTTTGAGAAGCATATCTGCATCAGGAAAAATATGTATGTGTTTTAGGAGGTACTCCATCTGATTCAGATAGGGCAGCTCCAGTGGAAATCCCTGGCCTCCAGTTACATTTGTCTTCTTACCCTGGAGCGGATCTCTGAAGAAACTTTTCTGGTTTTTATAGAGAGAAATATTTTGCAAAAGCATCACTGGTAGGGTACCGAATCAGGAACATGACAAATGGTGTTAAATAATGCCCAGCTTCCACACAGGAATCTGTTTCTGTGGACAGGTATCTGGAAGTCTAGCTTGCCAGTGCAGTACTTTGCACTGTGTTAATGATCTGTTTCAAAGACAAATTTTATGAATAGAGATCAAAGTGTTTAAAAGCACTGTTAGCAAATATGACCACTTGTGCAAATATCCGTGAACCTCCCTTCAATAGCCATTCAGTAGTTCCAAAGGCTGTCAGGGCATGTAATGATTGTAATAAATGTTGTATTTGCTTTTGTTTCAGCTGGCTTTGACCAGCAAATTCGGCTGATTACTTCCATTGTTATTTTTGCTTAGAAGACAATTATATTGTTATCATTAAAAAAACCCACTCTTCTTACACATTTCTTTGTACTGGTCTTGAAATTCAGAACTCGCTATCCTAGTTAACATAATTTAAGAAGTTATTTTCATTCTTATCTTTGCAGTTCTTTCTTTTCAGTGTTTTTGCTTTGTTCCATGCTCCTCCTGAACGCTGCGTCTCCCACCATTGTGCTTCTTGGAGAAACAAACCAATAATTGTTGAGACCCTCCCTGCCCCTAGATTAATAGTCAGAGGTTTAAATTGTAGCACACCCTAAGAAAATATTGGTATTTAGCTGATGATCATGTGTTGTTATGGCTGGATTATAACTGCATTCAGGAGTGGGATACTCCCATGGCTCTGAGATTATATTCTAGCAAAATAATAGCTCACACAGGACTCTGAAGAAGCTCCTTGTGTTCCTCTGTAAAGATACTGAAGATGCAGTCAGCCTCATCTGTATTTGGTCTACTTGTGGGAAACAAAAGAATAAATATAAACTGTCCCATCTCTGTTGTGGGTCCAATGTGCAGGACTCATCAAAGTACATTGATGGAGCAGTGCCAGTAAAATTCCCACTGGGTCTCTACAAAATGTTGCGACATGACCACCAGGACAAGAACAGCCTAAAAGCAGATGCTTTATGGGGCATATGTCCCTGGGAAAGACTGTATCATTTGGAAAGAAATTGTGAGAGAAGTTAGTGCTGGTCCAACCAGCAGCACATGAGCAGAAACAGTCACACAACTATAAGGGTCAGGAATCTGCCAAGGATCCCTTTGCTGTGTTGCTTAGTTGAAAACTGATGCATAAAGGTACCTTTGTGTGCGAGGAAACCACAGTGGACAGCCTTTGGTAAGGGACACCTTTGGAGAAGGTTTGACTGAATCTTTATCCAACTAATAAAAAAATAAGTTATGATTTCTTCAATTCAACTTGAAGAGAGAACTTTTGAGACAGGTCAGGCATGTTTACCCAGGTTGACCCATACACTTAAGCTAACCCCATTTCTTTTACAAAAAATAATACATAAACTATGAAGGGCTTAGGACAGACAAGGGCTGTTTTGTCCTATGGGTAAACTCACAGTGTTCCTTAGCTTACTCCTTTCCAGTTTGGCTCTGATGACTACATGTAAAGGGTCCACAAAAGTTGTTTAAGAAAAGCAGGCCTTGTTCCGTAGACTAATGTTGTTCTATGGAGAGTTCAAATGTCGACCGGAAAGTGTTTGGGGTCTGTAAATGGCAAAAGCACCAAAGAGTTATTCTGGTAGTGTGCTGTGATACTGTGATATCACACCAGTGCTGTACTCTGATACTGTATTTTTGTTGTACCCTGAACCACTCTGTTCTTGATAAGAATTGGTCTCACTTCCCAACTCATCACCACTGCAGCTATCCATACTGAAATTTTGCATCAAGACCCTTTTCTATGCACTGGCTGAACCAGTTTGCCCTAATCTGTGAGATTTAAAAATTTGGATTAAACTAAATGGGAGTTGTGTACACAACACTTAGGAGGCTGTAACTGTGTAGCTAAGTGTGCTGTCTCTTATGTTCCTTTTTGTTTTACAGGTTGTTACTTTGTGGTATAGAGCTCCTGAAGTTTTGCTTCAGTCCAGCTATGCAACACCAGTTGATCTTTGGAGTGTTGGCTGCATATTTGCAGAAATGTTCCGTCGAAAGTAAGAAATACAGTTTTATTTTCTTCATGGTTTTAATTTGAAATTTGAAAAAATGTGCGGTAATGTCTGGTACAATACACTGGATCATGTTTATATTGGAAAAGCCTGATGGGATATTTTATTTGCAGCACAAAATGTGAATACCATTGTGAATTCATGCCTGTTGCCATCTTGGAGTCTTTCTTTTTTGATGGTATTATCTCTTTTGATGGTATTAGCTCTCAGTAAAGCCTGTATGAGCATGGTTGTATTCCTGTTACACCTGAATCCGAATGCAGATAAAAGTGGGCTAGAGAGGCTGTTGATCAATTTGAGTAAAGCTGCATTCTGGAAAAGATTTACCCTGAGGAAGGCAGGGCATGGTGGTCAGCAGATTATTCTTGCGCTGGAGTTTGTGCATTGGAGCATCAGGTGTTTCCTCGTAGCCCCTCTTGGCATATTTGAGATCTCAGGAGTCACTGTAAAGTTGATTTCTAGACGTAAGAAACAGAGGCAGGATTTTTTTAAGAATAAGCTATTTAGCCTGAGTGTAGGGTAACAGAGGTGGTTAAATGTAGTCCAAAAAAGCCAGATAGAAGACTTTTTTTGGCTGATTTGATTAAACCGGCTATCAGAAACTTCTTGCTACAAAATATTACAGCTGGATGCAGGAGAGTTGTGAATTCAAGAGGAATACTTGTGTACTGCTCTTTCCCCATGGAAGGACACTGATGTGGAGGTTGCACCATGTAGGGTGTGGAGAGGAGCAAACCCCCAAGAACCTTAAACACGTCAATCTGTCTCAACCCAATCACATGCATTTTGGTTGAGTTTACTGCAAAAAGTACATGTCGTCATCACCTGGGTGATCTCCGTGTAGAAACTGTATAGCGTTTTGTAACACTACGGTGAAATCAAAGAACATACATGAAGAAAATGATACAGAGTGGCAAAAAAAAAACCCCAAATCAATGTAATTTACAAGGAGAAGCCATACTGAAAGGGCCTTGAGAAACAACTATTCAATTTATACAACATGAAGTTCAAAATACTAATTGAAATCTTGCAAAATAACTCTGGGATTCTACTACTTATTAATGTTAGTATATGGAAAAATCATTTTTCTTGGGCTTCTTGCCTGGTCAAATGGCCTGGGTAGAATTATTATACTCCACCCTCTCTGTCTCTGACTCAGAAATGAGGTCAGAAAATGAGTGAAAAAAAGAAATGTGGATTTTAGGAGTGTCCAGGACAATTGTATCAATAAAACCCTCCATCACAAACTTTTAAAAATTTAGTCTTATCCTATATACCGCCAAGTTCACAGTAGCAATAAGCCATTGATATTTTTTCTGATTTAAATAGCAGAGTCAACAACTTCATTTTAGCATTTGCAGTAAGAGTGATACAGGACAAACAACTGAACACAGAGCTTTGTTACACACTCAAAACTCATTTTTTTCTCATTTAATTTGCAGCATTCTGACAGATGAGAAATATTGCCATATACAAACACCACCAAATTAATTTTGTTTTTCCTTTTATGATGTATGAGCCTCACTGACGCTCCAAATTCAACACAATAAATTAAATTAGGGACAGTTAAATTTTCTACTTGTTTACAAATGCAAATATTACATTAATATTACAAAATCAGAGATTTATTTTTTTTTAATGGAAATGAGATCTGACTTGAAGCAGAGTTTGATAAAACCAGGACTTCTATTATTCTTGCCAAATGCAGGGTCAGTCTGACATTCTCATTCCTAAATTTGGGAGACTGACAAAAACTGTAGAGGTCAGGAATCTGCCAAGTCTGTATGTACTATGTTCTTTCATTGGAAACAATATGACTTTCACATACTTAAGTATACAAACATGATTTGGAAAACTAATCTAAAGCCTCATTGCCATAAAGCTACGATGAACAGCACTGAATGCTATCTCCATGGACTGCTGTATTGGGTTAATGTTGCAATACTCTCTGTATGATATATGTTGTCTTTCTGATTCTCCTGATGGATTGCAAAAGAAAACCCATGTTACTGTGACCTTGGTAGCAATAAACTGTAAAATTTTGCAAACTCCATGGATTATTTCCAAAAGATTGAATAAATGCAACAGCTATTTCTGCTGGAAAATGGTAGTGCCTTTGGGTAATCACCCATCTGAACTTCCTTTGGCATTGATAGGATAAGAGTACAAGAATGCAGCTAAAGCTTAGAAGTAGATGTTGGTTTGACATTAAGACGA